AAAGTTATGGGTTAAGGATAATTTTTTTTTAGGACAATTGGACGAAAAATTAGACAAACAGACAGACGGCATAAAAATACTTGTGTTTCTGAATACCACAAGCTTACTATTTTAGAGGCTGAAAAGAAGAAAACTCTGAACTCTGAAGCACAACAAAAGACACATAAAAGAGGTAAAATTATAAGCAAAAAGTGTCAGCATACAGTTGGGTCTACTTTTTCCCCGCAAAAAAAGTAAGGTATATTAAATGCCTAAGCTTGCCTCTAATGTATATGCCTTATTCAATGTCGGTAAAGTGGTTTCCAAACAATATTTCAAGTAGGACCATCACTAAAATATTTTTGTTTGATGTATTCCGACCTGCGTTTTTAATGGAGGTAGGTATTTACATTTAAAAAAAAAAATATTTTGTAAGACTTTGATAAGGTCATTAGCACCACTTAAAATATTGTCTGAAAACCACATTGCCGACATTGAATAAAGCATGTACATTAGTTTGTTTGTATGTTGTTTAACGTCCCTCTCGAGAATTTTTCACTCATATGGAGACGCCACCACTTGCCGGTGGAGAGCTGCAAATTTTGTCCTATACTCGGCACTTAGGGCCATTGAGCAGTGAGGGATCTTCTTCGTGCCATCACCTACTGCGACACGGGACCTCGGTTTATACGGTCTCATCCGAAGGACCGGTCTCCACGTCCCACAGTGGGATTCGAACCCGCAAGGTAAGGATCAACTCCTTACTTCGCGACTCTAGAGCAGACGCTCCAATCACTGCGCCACGCGGGCGAAGCATGTACATTAGAGGCAAGCTTATACGAAGTAGCCAAGCCATCTTTACGAATATTATTGGTGTTGTCTTGTAGATATTTAATAGGGATTTGGAATTTTCATTTCCATTCAGGAGGTTAATGCTGGCTGAAAATTAGAAACCTCTTTGCACATCTATATACAACAACAAGCATATTCCTAAAGATCAAAAGATAGTGCGTAGAATATTAAAGGAGCTCTGTGAAGAAGTTTCGCCTTCCTTGACCCCCAGGCTTCGTCGGAAACCCATGGTTGATTGTAAAAGCTTCGTTCCGAGAGAGCAACCTTTGGTTTCTGAAACCTTATTGCACATTTACAACTAATCACCAATCATATTTCAAAAGATGATTGGGTTTCTGCATGAAATTTAACAGGAATTCTGGAACTTGGTTTTCGTAGGGAAAAACGTCGTTTTCGACACCTGAAATGGCCTCTGAGTAAAAATGAAAATTAAAAAAAAAACCTTGTACATCTACAAGAGACACAAATCACATGGTTATTGCCTAATATGTAAAAGTAGTCTGTTTCCCGCCCCCGCCATGATGTGAAAACGGAGTGGCGGGGGCGGGAACCAGACTAATGTAAAAGGAGTTCAGGAAACCAGTTTTTTCGTAGAAAAAAGTGAGAACCAGTCTTTTGTAGGAAAAAAGTCGTTTTTCTATCCCTGTTTGGCCTCCAGGGTGAAAAAGAAAATACCTAAACCTCATTGCATATTTATAGGACATCACTAGTGATATTTTAAAGGATCAAATATATGAGGAGTCCTGAGAACCAGGTTTTTGTGTGATTTGCGTGTCTTGTAGATGTGCAAGAAGGTTTTGGAAATTTTATTTCCGGTCAATGGGTACCAAAAATTTTAACGCCTTTTTAATTTTTATTTTTACATAAATGTCTTATGAAATTCTCTATTGAAAGACATTTTTTGTCAATTTATTTTATGAATTATTAAGCCATATTTTTGCCTCCCCACTGGCGAATTTAAGGGGGGGCGTGGGGGGCGCACGCCCCCCCCCCCCTTAAAATTTTCAAAGTATGACATGACTAATATTAATAATGCCATACTTTGGTTTTATAATTAATGGTCAATTGAAAAATGGTAATTTTATTTAATGACCAAGTATCGGTTTTCTTAAAAATCAAGTCTGAAAACCTTGCATTCCCTAGGCTATGAATATTATCTCATAATTATTCAAACCGGAAATCGTCTCCCGATTTCGTTTAGAGAGTAGACTGCACTTGTCAATTTCCTATCATGATGCAAGGAAAAATACTGCAATATTTAAAGGCTGGTCGAAGGTAAATAAATGAATTTAAAATCAGACGGTCTACGTTACAAACCCGTCCACTGATTGATGTATTTATTTATCAAATGGTGTAACTATGCAGTAATTTACTTACATAGATGCAAGACTTTTTTCATTACACACATCTCATAATCATTCCATATAAATGAAATTTAACGTCAGGACAAAGGTTAGGATGGTGTAACTTCGACCGTTCATAAATACCTTAAAATAATTTGTTTATAACCAATTAAGGTGTACATTATTTCAAAGCACTTTAAAATAGAAAAGGATTTACCAAGAGAAATTTTCAAAAAAAACAAAAAACTACCTAATTAGGTCTAAGCAGTTATTAATCTTTGAAGATTGCATTGAATTCTATGGAAAAAAGTAAATTTTCAAAGTTTAAAAATTAAATACTTAGAAAATCAATAAATGCTGTATGGAAAGATGTACATGTATTTGATCATAAGGAATAGAAAAACAATTAAAAACTATTTTTTCACTGGATAGATTTTTTAGAATTGATTTTTATTGAATAAAATCAAAGGGAGATAACTCTTCAAGGTCATGACAAGGTCAAGAATAAGGGCACATTCCGCTCTTACATACTGATTCTAAAACATGAAAATCATGTTTAAATATACTGAGTACTCAGCCCATACATATCTGTTATGCATTCAATATTCCATTGAATCTGAGGCTAATATGGGCCGGATATAAATGACAATGTACTTTGGAAAACATTCTGATTTTTGTGACTTCTTGTATATCTAGGTAAAATGCTATTTTTAAAATCTGATCTTGTTTGTTCGTTGTTTTTTGGTTTGTTTGTGTGTGTGTGTGTGTGTTTTTTTTTTTTCTTTTAAAAAGTGAAATATCATAGTGTACATAACTAATCAATTTTCCACTATTTTTGTGCCTGGTTTTACTCTTAAAATTCACGAAAACCCAGGAGCTTCCGGGGGCTTCGCCCCCTGGGCCACCACCAGGGCTTCGCCCCCCTAATCACAAATCCTGTATCCGCCCATGCTCCCTTCCAAAATTCACAACTAAAAGATTTAGAAAACACCTTTTATTCTTTTGTGATGAGAAGTAATACTTTCAGACTGAATAAAAAAATTAAATTATCCATATGTTGTAAGTCTCTATATACTATTGTAAAATGGTGAAGAGATTCAAATAAAATGATTAATTGATTGATTGGACTGAAAAAGGATGTTTGTACTAAGGATTTCAATGATGGCAGTTTCAAGATTATTAGTATTAAAGAGTTTATTATGTCACTAAAACTTGTATGGATGAAACCTATTATGCTACAAAGTAAAAAAAAAAATCACATTTAGCTTTAGAGTTAGAAATAACATTGTCTTTTGTGGAAAATAAAACATCCTGAAAAAAAAATAAAAGATGTAAAAATATTTTGGAAACATGTTTTTGTCTAAAGGCCTGGCTATTTTTCTGAAAAATTACCAGAAGCAAATTATGGAACCACTGTTTTTTTAACAAAAATATCTTGATTGGTAATAAAACAATTTTTTACATGAAGTAGTTTGAAAAAAAATGTAAATGATCTACTGAGAGAAGATGTTTCCTTCATGGACGTAAACACTTTCAACTGAAATATGGAATCAAAGCAAACTTTTTTTTAAGTACAACGGACCTATATCTATTAGAAAATGGATGAAAAATAAAAATATTGTTTCACCGTCAGAAGTTAAATGCCATTTTTTACACAAAAACTATGTTCTTTATTAATGCTAAGAAATCCAGAAATCTTTATAACATTTTGAAAAGTAATGCTATCAAGCCTCTAGGTAAATCTAGCTGGAACAAGATATTTTATTTAAATGATTCTGAATGAAAGACGATTTTTTTCTTTCCCATTCAAGCTTACCAAAAATGCATATTTCAGTGGTTTCAGTTTCGAATTAACAATAAAATATTAGCCATAAATTCCTTTTTATATAAAATTAAGAAAGTAGGTATGTACGGTTGTTCTTTTTGTGAAACTGAGACTGAAACTATTGAGCACATTTTGGGGGAATGTAAATTAATACAAAATTTATTGAACAGTTTTGATAAGTATTGTTTTAGAAAGATTGATATTAATGTTGTACATATATATTTAAAGAAGGAATTCAAACTGAGATCATTTGAAAAATAGACAAAATTAAATATCTTATAGCACTTCAAATAAAGTATTTTATCTATAGAATGAGATATACTGACAAAAGACTCTTGCTGAACGGGCTGATATCCTCCATATGTATGATACACACAAGGCAATAAGAACAATAATCAGGTAAATTTTGATGAAACCTGGAAGCACTGGAAGAGTCTGTTCATGTAATTCTCTCTCTCCCCTTCTCCACTTCTATCTCTCTCTCTCTGTCTTAAAAAAATGATACAAAATGTATATGTATTCCTGAAGTTATGAATCAGAAACTGTGAATAAAAAAAAAAGAAAAGAATTTATTTTATGAAATACTAACGTAGACCCATAAACTACATGCTCACCTGAGCCTTTTATGTTCAATTGATACACAGGTATGTACATTTAATACATAAGTGAATATGTAAATTTAGAATAACTATTGTGGCTTCTTTACTAGTTCCCCAGTTACGAAGGAGAGTATATTTAGAGGCAAACACTTACGATTTGGTATACTACTGTCTTATGACAGTTTTTTATTTCAATGCATCAGTAATTTTTCTATAATTTCTATAATTTAATTCACTAGTCAATGTATAAATCCTATCACACACTGGGTGATCACCGATATAAATCATCGATATGTATCACCAAATAGTAACAAAAATCAGCTTATCTTATTTTAGTTATTTATATAAATGTTGTGTTCATCAGAACACACTCGCAGTACTATCAAACGGAACTTTTCTTATCGGAACAAATGACTCGTTCCCAGGGCCACTAAGAACTGCCATGTCCCCATCTAGCATGCTGGGGACAAACTCTAGACGCAAATATTTACCGAGAAACAAAATATGAAAAGAGGAAAGGATGTGAGGATCCTTATATTACTTTTTTTCGCCGTGGGGGTGGGGGTAAGGGGCGTGAGTGTTACCCTGGACGATCTGACGTCACGGTACCTATGTGCGTCACAGTGTTTGACTTTCTCCTCCGATAGCCCAGTAAGTAAATTACTTTTTAATAATATTAAGCAGCTTATTAGGTTGATTTTATTTTATGATAAATAAGAAAATAAGCAATTGGCCTGTGTGGAAGTATTAAAAGGTACCCGACTGACATGCTATATACTGAATCATTCGGAAATTTGTGTAATGCTTTTATACTGATAATAAATCCTTGAATAAAAGCTACTTAAAGACGCTGATAAAAAATGGGGATCTTACAGAATTATATTCTTAAATATCCTTCGCATGCTATACTGACGTTGTTTTCACTGATCGAAGATTACAGTGATGACCATGACAATGAAAATTACACAAATGTTTTTGTCCCGTTTGTAGAACATTTATTCGCAGTACTCTGCATACTGTGCACAACCAAATCCACAGTTTTCGTACGGATGTCAGGTTAGTAGAATTTAAAAAAAATCCTGTTTTCTCATATATTACATATTTACGTAGGTAGTCCATTAATCCAAATCCTCATTGTCCTTGTACAGAGTCAGGGCTGTGCTGGGTCTTGTAACTCCCTGATTTTGATTATTCATGGTAAGTGATCAATATCATAAAGAATTAATTTGCAGAGATATTTTTTCCACAGTTGTTTAATTATTGTTAACTCCCGCTTTAACAAACAAAGAAAGCATTTTATTGTACTAGTTCATGTAACTTGCAGATATCAGGAAATCGGCAAGTATTCCATCACTCAGTGCCCATTATGTAACAGGAACAGATATACAGATCACGTGGTCCTCTCCAGCCACGCCCTATTACACGCGCTACCTTCTGCAGATTAAATCCTACAGACAATGGATATCCATCGCAGAGGTACTTATTAAGTAAAACTTACATGTACCTGACTTTATTTTTAATAAACTACATGTACGTATATCTCTACTAAATCATCAAGATTCAAATTTAGGACTCAATAATTTAATTGCTAACGCTTGATAGTCCAAAATTTAAATATTAATAATCAATGCCAAAATACTAGTAAATTTTTATGACAAATAAAGAAAAGGCATATCAATGCGTTGCTTAGTTGAGGGATAATTTGCATAAAAAACTCACCAAGTATATATTGTTTTCACTGTGTCACAGATAACCACAACAAGCTATAGATACCACAACCCTAATCCTTGCAACAACATAACGTTTCGTGTAATAGCCGTCAATCAGTATGGAACCAAAGGATTCTCCAGTGCTTGGACTGCTATAGGTAATCTTTTACCTTCCTTGGCACTATGTCACAAGAGGCCCAAGGGCCTTAATGGTCACCTGAGTACAACAATTTAGAGGATCCATAAACTGATAAATGAAGCTTTGTTGCAAAAAAGCAAGAAATATGGTACGATTAAGATCAACAAAATAATTGTTCTAGTATCTATCTATCTATCCTCCATTTATCACTATTCCCATGTAGACTTTGAACTAAATGTCTATGACCTCTCACATTGACCTCACTTGGCCTTTGAAGAACATTTAAAAAGATAAGTTATTTTTGTTTCATTTTTATTCATGTATTATTTCCAAGCCTACCTGATCAATTTAGACTAAGAAAGTACTTTTTATATTATACAATAAATGTTCTTGCATAATTCTCTTATTCTATTTACCTTTCAAATACATTATCTACAGTGATTAATTATCAAAGGTGAATGGCAAAGGGAAATAACTTCACTCAGTAGAATACAAATTAATAGAGCCTTGACCAGGACCAGAACACTTGACTAAATGGTCCAGATGTTCAAAATTCTGGTAAAAATACCCTTTCTTATTAAACCTTTTTACTCTGCTTGCCTCCAATATACCCAGGAGCAGAGAAGATCTTCAAAGAAATAATGCATTTTCACTATTTAACACAACCCTTCCCTAACACCACAACCCATGACCCAGGGTCATGAAATTTACAAATTTGGAAGAGGTACCCTCATCATCATAATTATGCAATTACATGTAGTTGAAGATTTTCAAAGAATTCACCCATTTTTACTATATTATCAATAGAGCCCCCCCCCCATACTAGATGGATCTATAGAGGAAAGAAGCTCTGTCAATCCTGTGTCTTAAAGTTAAAGCTTAAAGGCAGTGATTTTATTAATAAATGATAGGCATTGATAACACTCGGAACACATTTGCGAGACTGTGAAAAGAAATGTTGCAAGCGATTGCTTCACTTTGCACCGCCTGCTAAATAGTTGCATTTTTGCGCTCTCAAATATGTAAATTTTAACGATATTTTACAGCTCCAAAGCCACCTTCTGCTCCACAGAATGCACAGTTAATGTTTGGCGCCATGTCCTACAACCCGGGATCAAAAGAGTTCGCTGGGATCTTACAGGTGGAAGGAATTCAAGGTAAAGTGAAATATTTACATTTGCCGATGGGTCAGTAATAATCATACAAGTAAAATTATGGGTGATACTTTCAGAACTACATGTACATGCATGGTTTCTCGTGAAAACCCTGAACTATTTCGTTATGTCTTTACCTAGAAGGCGTGTTTAATAGAAAGATAGATGCAAGGGGAGAGGAAGGATATAAAAACGAATTGAATTACACATCTAGTTTGTAAAGTATGCATACCTACAATATAAGCCTTAGTATATATGTACATAGTTTGATCCAGAGGTAGGGTTATGGTAAAGTAAGAAGTAAATATGTAAGCAATGTGTTTATTTTTGTATTAGGTTGATTACCGCAAATGGAACACGTGATAAATGTGTATTATCACATGCTTTAGTGTCGGTTATCACCTAATACACACCAAAACATAGTCACTTCTTTCTTAAGTACTGTTCGCATCAGAGTTAAAAGGTTAAATGTGGAATTTTCACAGACTGACAATGTATGTGGTAATTTTATTATTATATTGTGGTTATTAGGTCACCTGAGTCACTCAGGTGACCTCTGGCTATCCGTTTTTGTCCGTCGGCGTGCGTCGTGCGTTAACATTTGAACATTTTAGCTTCTTCTCTGAAACCGCTTAACCAATTTCAACCAAATTTTGCATATAGCATCTATGGGTAAAGGAGAACAAAAATTGTGAATTTCATGTTCCCTGCTCCCCTGGGGCCTGAGGAGTGGGGCTAAAACCACCAAAACTAATGCAATCTTTAAAAATCTTCTTCTTTACTCCTGGACATCAAGCAGTCAAACTATTGGCATGATTGTAATAAGCATTGAGCCCTCTACCAAAATTGTGAAACTCATGGCATCAGGGTCAGGGGTTCTGGTGCTAGGGTGGGGCTATAAAGATCATATAGTGAAAGTGCATTATTCTTTTGAAAATCTTCTTCTCTGCTCCTGGGTATTAAATAAAGTAACTAAGTACATAGTTATGATGAGCAAGAGTGCCTCTTCCAAAATTGTGAATTTCATGGCCCCAGAGTCAGGGGTTCTGGTGTTAGGGCGGGGCTCTATTGATTATATAGTGAAAATGCATTAATTCTTTGAAAATCTTCTTCTTTGCTCCTGGGTATTAAATAAAGTAATTAAGTACATGTACATAGCTATGATGAGCAAGAGTGCCTCTTCCAAAATTGTGAATTTCATGGCCCCAGGGTTAGGGGTTCTGGTGTTATGGCGGGGCTCTATTGATTATATAGTGAAAATGCATTAATTCTTTGAAAATCTTCTCTTCTGCTCCTGGATATTAAATAAACTAAGTTCATAGTTATGATGAGCATGGTTGCTTCTTCCGTAATTGTGAATTTCATGGCCCCAGGGTCAGGGGTTCTGGTGTTAGGGCGGGGCTCTATTGATTATATAGGGAAAATGCATAAATTCTTTCGAAATCTTCTTCTCTGCTCCTGGGTATTATTCAAACAAAGGAAGTGCATGGTTATGATAAGGAAGAATGCCTCTTCCAAAATTGTGAAATTCATGGCCTGGGTCAGGGGTTCTGGTGAAGAGGGGGCGGGGGTGGGGGTGGGACTCTATTGATTATATAGTGAAAATGCATAATTTCTTTCAAAATATTTTTTTCTACTACTGGTTATAAAGCTAAGAAACAAGTGTATAGTTATGATGAGCAAGGGTGCTTCTTCCAGAATTGTGAGTTTATGGCCCCTGGGTCAGATGTTCTGGTGTAAGGGTGGGGCATTATTTATTTAATAATATAGGGAAAATGCATTTCTTTGGAAATCTTCCTTGCTTCTCGACATATTCGAGGCAAACAAAGTAAAAGTTTAATATGCAAAGGTATTTTTACCAGAATTTTGAACGCCTGGACCATTTAGTCAAGTGTTCTGGTCCTGACCAGGGCTCTATTAACTTGTATTCTGCTGAGCAAAGTTATTCCCCTCTGCCATTCACCTTTAATCACTGTAAACAATGTATTTGAAAGGTTGATAGAATAAGAGAATTGTGCACGAATATTTATTGTATGATACAAAAAGTACTTTCACAGTTTTAATGATCAGGTACACTTGGAAATAATAGATGAATAAAAACAAGACAAAAATAACTTATCTTTTTAAATGTTCTTCAAAGGCCAAGAGAGGCCAATGTGAGAAGTAATAATATGGGGTTAAAAATAGACATTTTATTAATAGTCTGCATGGTAATAGTGATGAATGGGGGCAGATAGATACTAGACCAATTATTTTGTTGATGCTAATCATACTATTTTTCTTGCTTTTGGGCAACAAAGCTTCATTTATCAGTTTATGGATCCTCTAAATTGTTGTATTGTACTCAGGTGACCATTAAGGCCCTTGGGCCTTTTGTTTTATTATTATATTGTGGTTATTTTGTGTTATTTCTGTATTATCAGACTGGAAGGCAGAGGATATAGAGTACTACCAATGGAGTACACAACCCACCGCCTACTGCCGAAACATGAACAGCTTGGTACTGCCAATATTCGATCCATTGGCATCGACTGATGCTGTAAGTGTTAGTTTGCTTTGATCCAAGAATTGAATAAAGTTAAAATACCATCAGTCGCCTAGTATAATATTTCCCGATATTCACTCGGTATTCCCATTTTATCATTTATGTTGTATTGCATACAATATTCTTGTCTAAATATACTGAGTAATTGACATAAGTATGTTACACAATACTGGCTTTCCTACTATCATGTACTACAAAACTATTTTGCAGAAACTAGAGCTTACTTGCAAAACCGTTGAAAAGGAACGCTGTCTACATAGGACGCAAATCATGCAAGAGCACACAACTATATACAATACCCTAGCTGCATTGGTCCCAAAATGAAATAAACAAATGAATAATAAATAAATAAATAAATAAACAATAATAATAATAATAATAATAATAAAACAATCCCCATCCCACAAAACAAAGCAAAACCAACAAAAACCTTTCAAAAACAATAAAATAAAAAATAAGAAACACCTTCCAAATATTTACTCACATATTTGCTGTTGTTTTTGCACAGCGTTGCTCCCTCAATTCTTGAAATGAATTAAACTGTTTAAATTTTTTTGATTTCGGACTCTAAATCTGATTCCACTTGAGGCTGTATAAAAGAATTTAATTTGCAAATGGTCATCATTTTCATAAAAAAAAATTATAAGGATGAGATTGTTTTGTTACATTCTGTCCATTCTTTCCTCAAAAAGTCAACTCGTCTTTCTTGTCCCTTGATGAACATGGAAGTATCCTTGATTATATGCGAATACACACGACACCCTTTAAGTGACACAATATACACAAAAAAATACGCATTCAATCTTTAAATCACTATGAGCATATAAAATAAACAATGCAATATACATTTTATAATTCATTTAATGGGTTTTCAAGAAATCGAACAGTCGGACCTTACTGGAGGTTGGCACTTTTCTCAAATCAAACAAAACACGTGTAGCGCACTTATTCTTTTCAAAATAGCTGGTTGCTTTTTATCAATTTTAGGTTTCCGGAATCCACTTTAGGACCGGTGTCCGAATCCATTCCGACGGATATGGTTGTATCTATATTTTACATGTATGTTTGTAAGAGAGAAATGAATAATGTACAGAAGAAAGTGAAACAATATTAATATAAAAAAAAGGTTCAGATTTTTTTTTTTTAATCCAACCCTTGTCAAAAATATTTTATACGTTGTATATTCTCAGATTCGTGCAGTTTCCAAATGTGGAGTCCCAGGACCATACAATAACATTACCATTGATTTATCAGGTAATACAGTTTGTTTATTATTTACTTATATATACATATTACAAGTCTGTTTGGTATGTATGTAATCATACAAAGTAAAAATGAAATTTGAAAATATCCGCACTCGTATTACATGTATTTTTTTTAAATACACTGTATTAGAAAAACGTGTTATCTTACAGTCTCTTAACTCTTCTACCACTGTTTCTTTTAAGGATTCAGCAATTTCAAAGCATATATAGATTGAAGTATATCTACTATTATAAATGGAAGTATGTTTACTTTTGTATATATTTCAACAGATTGCTCGAAAATCCGCGGTTTTAACTGTCGACCAATCAGAGGGACACCATGTAAGTACATAAGACTTTGTAGAGAAATAACCTTTTAAAATATCTAAAAATGTCTATGTACCTCCAGCATATACCGTGTGGATATAAATATACTTCTCTGCGCCCCTCTTTGAGTTGTTTTGTGCATTCTTTTGTTCCTCCACACATATCTGCGAATTCAGTGTCGTGTTTTGTGAAACAACTTGGAGGTTGCTTTTTCAGTCCTCATCTCTGGAACCAGGAAATTGTTCGACTTCACACAAAGTTGTTCCTGCTTAAAAGTTGTATCAACGGCCTTGACTAAGACTTTGTATCTAAAATTATTTTAAATCACGTTAGGTATCCTTAATGGCTAACCTCCTCGACATTAGATTTAACTCATTTCTCCTTGCAATAGTGTCTTTTACCTAACTGGTGTGGTGACTTTGTTTTAGGGGCATACATGAAAAGTTCAAGGTTATTGAATCTGTTAACTAAACTTTATGACTTTCACATATGGACAACAGAAATTTTGCACGCATAGTTTCTAATCTCTGATTTATTTCAGACATTTCTGGATATCAGTGGATAATCTTCCTCATCTATTCCATTCTATATCTTAGTTTGTACATGTTTCGGATTCAAAGAACTAGATTTCTTTCAAGAGGGATCATAGCCTCGAAACACTCTGATATTTATGGAAATGCAATATACAATCGAGTTGTGGTATTATATGTTTGAAATGAACCTTCATTGTCTCTGAGATTTGTAATATTAAGTAAATATTTTATTTTTTTAAGTGACAATGGAGTGGCTCTGCCCGTACTCTCTTTGCTTGTTCTCTACAAACTTGTGTTCAATACACTGTATATATTTTTCTTAATTTTTGTATTACAATATCTATCCATGAGAATACAAAATGATATACAAGTATATCATTATAATCATTCTTTTAACCATTTTTTTTTTATATTTTATAAGTCGACCCACCAGGAGTCGTGGAAAACGTCACTTTGAGGATGGACATGAACCATCCCCAAATCTGGTTAAAAGTTCAATGGAAAAAGCCATCGGACCTAGGGTCTATGGGAGTAATAAATCACTATTTAATGAGGTGGGGCAAAGTCATAATTCCTCCGTTTTTTCTGGATCAACCACAATACACCCATGAGCCACTCAATACAACTTTAGATAGTGTATGTACTCACAGTTTTCTCAAGTTTACATTTTATTCAAACTATATACTTCGTCCAATTTCATTTTTGAATCTGTGCTTGTTTTTTGCATTTTTTTTTAACACATATTTATCTGTCTTTGCATTTTTGATTTCATGAACAGAATATCGTTGAATTCGGAATTCAAGTCAATGACGAGCCTAACGCAGTCTATGGATTTCAGGTATGCCTAAAGTCTTTTAATTACTGTGGATACATACAGAAATTGTTGAACATGATTTAAAAGAGAAATTATTGTTGATTAATTTTAATTTCATGACTAATCTTATTTACTTCTGCATGAGAACTTTTGCACAAGGGAATCAGACTATCATGCTCGAGATTCTGAGCAAAGCACAAAAACTCGGAAAAGTCCACTGTCTGTAACTGGATGGTACTATTTCATTTCTTTATAGATCATACCCATTGCACCCACTCAAATTGTGCAACCCTTTGATTATGATAAGTTCCAAGTTTTCGCCATTACCCTAAAAAATCGCACATCTTGTCAAAATACTAACATGCAAGGTTTGTTTTTAATTTTATATTGTGTTTGTGCGTTTAAAGAGTTGATAAGAAAAATTTGCAAATAGCAAATCAAGATACTCATATTAAGGACAACTCAGAGCATTAATTTTAAAATACTCAATAATGGGGGGAAATACTCATTTCATTTTGCTAGGGTCTAGAATATCTTGTGATGAGGATGGAGTGTCAATAATCCAGTTCAGCAACACTCTAGACATCACCTACGTCTGGCGTGTACCAAGTCACTCTAATGTACAAGTTTTCGATGACGAGGAATTCCATGATAAGTATGCTATACAGTTAGGGGAAGTGGTCCATTCACCGCCACCTGTCGGACAACAGCTCACCAACACTAATGTTACCGTCGTGGAATCTGTGAGTTGTTTTCAATGAAATATCATTCAACTTTGTACTTGCCATATTAAGTAAACACTAATTGTCGCTTCTTGTTGAATGTCATGTTGGAAACAGACAATTGCTTTGTTCTGTTGAAAACTTTTAAGTTCAAATATTGCTTTGTTGACTGCATGTTTCGTCGTTGCAGGAGAGTCACCGTGTGTCACAGGCGTGAATATCCAAATGAATGTAAAATTTGACGTAATGGAATGGATAAATAAAGAATCCTAACTTCTGCTGGTGTTGTTGATTACCCTGAGACACACGGTGGACAATCATAGTCCGCGGATACAAGAAATGACGTCATGATGCTTTCCTTTAAAATAAAGAAAATTCATTAATATAAACATCTCGTTCATTTCTTGTTTCTGCAAGTGTGCATTGTGTTGTCTCAGTTCATATTGATGTGACAGTTTCTTACATATATGTAAGATTGAAATAGTGTCAGAGATCTATTACATGTATTATGAATATCAAAAGAATGAAAAATGCAAAACAATAATTAACTCATGTTTGTACAGCGTCCTTTCTATTTCTTTAAGTTTGTACATAAAATAAAAATTTGGCTACTCCAAAGTTCCCTGTTTACTAACAGTTGGTAAGAAAGGACGGATTGTTTACGACAATAAATGGATAGGAATTACATGGATCGAATAATCAAAGAAACGTGTCTTGTTTGACTAAATTTGACTCGCATACCCGGTACGGTATGAATAAGATTTCATTTCCTGTTTCACTAAAGAGGGTGGGGGTGTTACTATATCATTTAATTATCCTAATAAGCTGCAAAAATGGGGTCTGACTTTTGAATTATTTAGGTTTGTGAAGAGCAAGAAACAGTTGAAAAGAATAAATACACATTGTGTGCAGCAGAACGGGACTCCGTAGTTTTCCGCAATCTGGAACCGGAAGTGATGTATGGAGTCAGGGTAAGGTATAAAAAGTCGGTAACGTTCTTTTTAAGGTCCATAGTAGTCAGCAATTTATTCACACTCGATCAGTGCTCACAAAAGGGCTCTAAAGAATACCAAATATAGTATATATTATGTTAGTTGGCCTTAGTTAATGTAGCAAGATTAAAGAAAATTGAATCCTTTCGAAATCTTTCGTAAGAAGCAAGTCAGATATATGATATATCTTACAGATATGTCATATAATAAGAAGCGAACATAATTAAACTATTTAACAGACCGCTTCAAATACAGAAAAGCGCTCGCTCCGTGATCGGAAGGTCGTGTGTTAGAATCACGGCCGCGACTGACCTAATTCGATAAAAAATAGGTAGCAGCTGTTCCTTCGCCAAGCGCTCAGCATTTGAAGTGAAAGTTGCGGGTCTTTCGGATGAGATCTTAAAAAACCGAGGCCCCCTGTCACGGTTGCCGTTGGCACGATAAAGAACCCTCACTACTCAATGGCCCTACGTGCCGACCAAAGGTCTAAATTTGAAGCCCTTCACCAGTATATGGTGACGTCTCAATATGAGTGAAAAATTCTCGAACGGGACGTAAAACAACATTCAATCAATCAAACAAATACAGAAAATATTAAGAATGCTATTCAAAAGCATTTAAAATGATCAATTTTGCATACTAAATTTTTTTTTTTGGGGGGGGGGGGGTCTATTGTTAATTGTAGATAGAAGATTAAAAGTATCAAGTACAATCATCTTTCTCTATAAAATCTCAGCAAGACACTTACACAGATAGAAAAGAAGTAATATTATATATTTACATTCAGTGTAATTTTCTTTATAAAATCTATAAGAAATCTACAATATTCCATCCCTTCTATTTACATTTGCTAATGTCTTTCCTTATAAGACAATACTAACGAAATTTGCATTCAATTTTCGTTGACATGAAATTGGTCACGTGATTAGACTTCTTTGCGTATGGAAAGCAAACCGTTCGAGGCATTTGGAAGGCCTAGACTGACGTCACATGATGTTGTACATGTATGTTACGTTGCTTTTCCATAACAGTCTAAATAAAACATTTTTTTTGTAACACAAATAAAAATATAAATATCACGTGACCAACTTCATGTCATATCCCAATGAAACTCTAATAATGATATCTTATTTCTTATTTAACACACACGAAACCTTGTCACGGCGCGGTAGAATACACAATAGGAACTACACACTTTCGATACACTAGGAACAAAAATATATATTGTTTTGGCTCAATCTAATTCAACAATTACCATATTTAATTGTTATAAAAATATAATTATTGTACATTTCAAATTAATTTGTCATTTTTCCCCTCGCTGTATTCATTTGCGTTATTGAACTTTCCACGTCAAAAGGGCTCTTACGTCTATTAACAACACCAGTCAGTTCTGAAAGCCCTAAATTTATAATAAAGGCTAATGAAATTATCATATATGAAGAGAGAACATTAGAGAATGTAAATATAAGCATTGATTTCTTATTTTTTGATGTTGTCGGTCGTATAACATCACCTGTCCGTGCCGACAAATTATCATATCGCTAACGCGAGGTATTCAATTTGTCGGTACGGTCAGGTGAAATTATACGTCCGACGTCCGAAAATAAGAATTCAATGCTTAAATAAATAAATCTTCAAGAAAATTAAAAATAAATCAATGAAATTTGGATAAATTTACTGTATTATTAAAAAAATCCCTATTTCTAAATAGGTTATTGGATTAAAGGATTCAGAGCCATTGCCAACAGAAAAAAGATGGCGTATGATGAAAATTCACACCTTTACTTTGAATGAAACGACAGGTAAAATTAATATACCGTCTTGTATTTGCTTTATTTTGATTTAAAGATATATTATACAAGGGAGTAAAGGCATAAACTTTATTTTATAATCAAGGAATAAAATTCTATTTATAGAAGAGGTCAACGCGACGTCTTCAACAGAAATATTGAAAGGTAAGTGGCAGACATAACGACGAGTGGACTGAATAAATTATTTAAGTTAAAAATAAGGAATCAAAATATAAAAACACAAGCATACCCCGAAAACATGTAAAGATACATTAATTATTTGAAATCTTTAATTTAATTCCATATAGTCGTAAAAATCGTTCATTTTTCTCTCCGTTTATTGATTTGTCGTATACATGTATACCAATCGTAAATGATCGATATATTGATAAACGGAAATCGAGATGAAAGATATTTGTGGATTAAGTATGACAAATCAAGAGTATTGTCAATATAATTGGAGTATTTTCCGAACCGTTGACCAAATCAAAGAACAATTACATCGAACAGATATTGTAGAAGATGGTAAACACAAGAAAACTTGATTGATTAGGCTATTTATAATACGATCAATTAGTCTAACTTTTATAAATTTCCAACTTTTCAAATTACAATTACTCTAAAATCCTATTACTTGCTTTCATACTTCCCGTGACGCCTTTGGCTCTCCATCCTTGTCTGTCACTGAATAGTTCTGGAGTGTGCCCCAACTTCTCTTTTGTTCTTTTATTTCTGCCTCCACTTTTGGCCTAAAAGTTCCCTTAATTTGTTTGCTGTCACAATTTGTGATAATGGCATGGAAATATTCCCTCGCTGTAACCAAATCTTTGAAAAAGAACAAAGAGTAAGTGCAAACAAGTTTATTATAGTGCTCCAAAAAAAAATGCAGAGAATATCTGCACACCTGCACACACAACACGCACATCTACAACACTCGCACAAATAAGAAAAAAATAATAATAAACAAAAAAAAAAATAATGATAGTATCAATATACCGACTATAATAGAGTCATACCAGACCCGACAAATGTTTTATTGCCATGTGCGAATAAAATCAAAATCGGAAACACTGACTGGCGAGACCACAGAGGTTGACCCAAGACGTTACCGTATACTGTTCATTGACACACAGTCGTTGGTTTCTCGTGGAATTACGGTTACGACACTGTCCAAAGGTTGCACGTCCCTCTAGCCTTCAACGCCTTAGTACGTAGAATTTCCTCGAATGTCTCAGTATGCCATAATGTTCATCTGCTACTGTAAACACGCACATACACAGCTGGTCACGTATAATAACACATTATTTAAAGGTCTGGGTTTCCATAGTCGGTAATAAACGCATTCATAAGGAATACTTGAATATGTCGGGTACATTATCTAGTACAAATAAAACTGAACTTAACAAAGTAATGAAATAATAACTTTTTCTTTTAAAAAAAAAAAAAAATAACAAAAAAACCTAGCTAACAAAATATACAGTTCAAACTCACCGCTGCCAAAGTTCTCAAAATTACTCTACTGTCCACACAGGAAAACTTCTCGAACACACACAAAACATTCAGGCCCAAAGCACGTAGCTATTTCTCTCGCGACCACACAGGTCATACAACATTTGTACTTAGGAAGGACACACCTTCTCACTTCTACGGCCTGCTCAGAACTAACTTACACGTAGACAAAATTGTTAAAACCGGTCTGGCAGCCGTGACCAGCTATCCGTAACGACTATACGATGAGAATGAACCTATGGTACACCATAACCAACATAATCAAATTAAACAAAATTGTGACATTTGCCCTCTATTGTTCAACAGAGGACCGTCAGATGCAGGATTGGAAAGAATAGCATCGAGTCTGCAGTTGAAACAGGAGGTTTAACAAGGCTACGTATTGTCATCAACACTCTTCATCATAGCCATTATCCAAGAGGCATCAGATTGGGTACTTTTACCATACACGAAGACCTAGACTTAGCTGATGACATTGCCTTGCTTTCTCACTTCCATTACCGGTCACGGTAGCCTAGTGGTAGGGCGTTCGCTTCGTGATCGGGAGGCCCGGGTTCGATTCTCGTTCGCCGCGTCAAACTTTAGACTTAAACATAGGTAGTGACTGTTCCTTCGCCAAGCGCCCGGCATTAGAAGTGAAGGTCACGGGTCTTTCGAATATGACCTTAAAAATAGGTCCCGTGTCACGGTAGGCGTTGGCACGATAAAGAACCCTCACTGCTCAATGGCCCTGAGTGCCGAGTATAGGTCTAAATTTGAAGCACTTCACCGGCATACGGTGACGTCACTATATGAGTCAAAAATTCTCGAATGGGACGTTAAACCACATACAATCAATCTCACTTCCAATACCGGTAGAGCACTCGCTTCGTGATCGGAAGGTCGTGGGTTCGAGCCCCGGCCCGACCGCGACTGACCTAAGTAAATAAAAAATAGGTAGCAACTGTTCCTTCGCCAAGCGCTCAGCATTTGAAGTGAAAGTTGCGGGTCCTTCGGATGAGACCTTAAAAACCGAAGCACCGTGTCACGACAGGCGTTGGCACGATAAAGATCCCTCACTGCTCAATGGCCCTGAGTGCCGAGTAAAGGTCTAAATTTGAAGCCTTTCACCGGTATATGGTGACGTCTCTATATGAGTGAAAAATTCTCGAACGGGACCTAAAACAACATATAATCAATCAATCAGTCTCACTTCCATTAGCACATTCAAAACAAAACCAGCAGATTACACAAATTTGTAGGAAACATAGTATTGAGGATCAACACCAAAAGAACGGAGGTCATGACCCTAAATACAAACAACCAACAAGCGGTCACAGTGGAAAATCATATACTCCCATGTACTAACACCTTCATATAGTTGGGTAGTTAAGTAATGGAGGACCACAGAATGATATCCAGCAGGGACCCAAAGAACAGCTTTTAAGGTATTCAATGTATAACGACCATATTTTGTATCTAATAAATGAATGGTCCGATATTTTTGATCATGGTAGCATTTTGAAGGTGTTATCAAATAAAAATACTCCACCATAGGAATTTACAAAATTTTGATTACTGTCCAATTGATTGCACCTTGAATTTTACATTGAAGTCTATGGGCAGCGAATGTATTATCAAGATATTGTAAAAAGTAATAGAACTTCATCCAAATCTCGTGGTGAAAATATGCATAAACTATCTCTTTATCAAAATATAAAATAAAATAAATCTTTTACCACAGAAAATCTGAAAAAATTGAAATTTTCCTCTTTTTATTCAGGGCAGATAACTCTTCAAAAACGTTTAAGAGGCAAAATGGCCGGCTACTTATGTTACCCGTCATGTGAATTTGGTTCATTTCAATTTCATCGTTATCTAGCAATGCGTATTAAACTGCTTTAAAATGATTCAAAATTGCTCAATATCCCTTCATTATACATTGAATACCTTGAGAACATACAACCTGTTTGAAGATTTAACCAATACATCTTCTGGACAAAATTAAATTACGTAAAAGTATTTAAAAAATATACATTCCATACAAAGTCCCTGAGAAAGATCCTTAGAATATTTTTGCCTAATACCATCTCAAGCCAGGACCTTCTTAACGTGTGCCAATAGTGTGCCGATGGATGACGATGGAAATGGCTTGGCCACGTACTTAGAAAGAACTCAGAAGCAACATAAAGACAAGGCTTTCCTTGCTCTCTGATGGCTACCTCTTCTGCTTTTGTTCTACGGCATTAATGTAATCTCTCTTCTCATGGCGTAGAGCCTTTTTCACTTCTTTCTGTAAATCATTGTATTCCTCTTGGTGTCTCTCTTTGAGTCTCGCAGATTTTCCTTCATTTACTTTATTTGGGAAACTATTCTTAAGCCAATTATTCACTATGTTCTAGACATTATCAAATCTTTGCTCTTTGTTTCTGCCTGTATCCAACACACTATTCACTAGACTCAGTGTAGAGCTTGCATATTTTCCCACCACTTCTTATTGATTGATAATATGCTGTTCTCTAATTCTAGGTTTTGCAGCTCGTCAAACCTATCCTTAGTGTGATGTTGAATTCACTGTGTATTTAGCTGTCTTTAAGTTTGTCGACATCAAATTTCTTTCATATCATGCTACTGTGCTACGAAGGTAAAGTTTGATAGACTCCGTTACTAGATGATGATCATTATCAGCATCCTTACCTCTCTTCATCATCACATATGGGGAAAAAACTTTTCATTTCATTTTCATGAATGTTTCGATGGGGAAACATTGTTCTTCCAATTGTCGGTGGTTCCAAAATCTGAAAGTCTTTCTCCATTCTCATTCATGGTTCTACAACCATGCTTTCCCTGTGCTCTGTTCTGTAGTTTATTATATGCTCAAGCTTCAGCATTTATATCGCCAATTATGATCTTAATATCACGGTCTGGTGTGTTGTGTAATCCCTGCTGTAACTGTTAGTAAAAAAGCATTCTTGGTCTCCTCATCCACATCGTTAGTGGGAGCGTAGCATTGAAACAGTGCCATATTGACTTGTTTTTCTGTAAGCTGCATTGTTAAACATCTGTTGTTGACTGTCTTCCATTCTATCAAAGACTTTCAAACCTTTCTGGAGTATAATTGCTATACCTTCACGATATTGTCCTTCTCCATCTTCTACTCCAGAATACAGTATCTCTGACCGGTCGTTGTTCTTATTCTTCCTGATTCTCCACGAGGAGGTGTGGCATGTGAATCAGACGATGGACATTACCTCTGGGTTTTAAGTGGCGAGACCTAATGGAATAAGTATCAACCCCGAGACCTGACCCAGCATTTGATACCTATAGAAGCTAATGTTTAAATAAATATGTAATTTCACTTTTCATTTCATTTCCATATTGCTTTTTCACTGTGTTTCTTGATCAGTAAAACAACATCTCATCAGTTGACAATTTTATTTTTACAAAGGAATTATATATAATTCCAATTCGCCGTAGTATTTTTTTTTTACCTTTTTAGGCCTGTATTTTAAAGCTAAGGCGAAAAGTGAATGATATGCCATGCACGTGGCGAAATCTTTGAAACAGAACATTCATTATACTCGTGCTTTATCCTTAGCTCCCTATGCAAGGTTAAGAGGATTTCTCATCTAGGTGGTCACACCAGTGGTCATGGAAAGTAAAAAATCAAAATTTCTCGCCAAACATGCATCAAAGATAAGAGTATTTATTGTATGTTTTACATTCAAATGGCCAGAGCCTTGTATTATAAATAAGTGACCCAATTCGTGAATTAAGATGGTCATATCATGACTCTTCGTGATAAGATTTTTGTACGTATAAAGAATGATCTTGACCAGAAGCCTTTGTACTGCATTAATACAGGAATTTATTGTGTCCTTTATCTAGAACAAAGTATACTGGTAATTCAGCTGTCTCATATCTAGAAATTGAAGAAAAAAACATTTCAATGTTAACCAATTTGGGGAGAGCGTTTTGAATCGGTACTCTATTCATTAGGTTATAGGAATGTGCCGATGGAATATGACACCTGCTTGAAGTAAAGCCAGGTGTTGTTGTTCAGACACTAAATTAACTTTTTAGTTTTAAGAAATAAATTCAGACATATTTTTTGTGTATTTTATCTCTAACAAAACGTCTAATAAAATTTGGAAAATACGCCCGTAGATCTCGTTTAGATACTAAATTTATTTTTTTTGATTAAAAAAGTATTTAAACCTATTTTCTTGTACATTTTTTATCTGTAACAAAATATGTGACAAAATTTGGAGAAAATTACAACAGATTAAGTAATCCTAGTAATATATTTCACTAGTTTACATTTTTTTCATATACAGTTTGTGGATATAGGTACTTGGTATTTAGTATGAAGATTTGACATATATGAAAAGGCAGTGGTGATTTGTCTTAGCGGCACACCTAAAAAAACCAAACAAACATACAGCAAAACAAAACAAAACAAAAAAATGAATGAAAACAAACAAAAAACCCTGGTATGTTCCCCTCTTCCGCCTGAATCCTTTACCAAAGAATGTGGAATGTTCATCTTTTCAGTTGAAATATCTACCAAATTAAAGCTGTTTATCATTTAATTTTTCCCTTCCCATTTTTATCATGATTCTTTTCTAGACCACCGAGACGAGTTAATCGCTATTGCTGTTGTGTTGTCTGTAGTGCTTTTTGTTGTTCTCCTTGTGTTGTGTTATACACTGAAGAGAAATAAGCAGAGGAAAATGTCATCTTTAGACAACCACCTGTTGTTTGGCGATTCCAACCCCAACAACGCTTACAGCCAGATTGAAAGGGCGATGCTCACTGCGTACGTATACATCAATACAGAAATGTAAAAATCCCACATTTATGGACCCATATGCTCTTTTCACAATTATGCTCAAAATCGCATCGAAAAAGGAAAGATTGGCTCAGGAATGGCGTCATTACCAAGATTGACTCTTTGAGATATTGGACTGTAAATATATATTAAAAAGACTTTAACAAAATCAATGAGGAAATGATATTTGGCAAATTTTTAGTCTCTTTTGCATAATATTATTGCAGATCTTCAGAGCATATCGGTCGGATTCTTTTGCCGATGATCTAGGTATATATGAGCAATTAACTGTCAATGAAATACCTAAAATTAACACCAAAATCCACAAAGGATATTCGTAAAAGAAGTTTACCCACATAAATCCCTTTAACCTTGAAATGAAGCATTGTTAGAGCATTCGTACAGCTATGGAGTTCTGTGTATTATGTATATCACTGAAGTTTGTTTCATCATTCTGAAACGTCTATGATATGATATTCTATTTCATATGATCAGTGACTCGTAATGACCTAAAAAAATATTGTTTTATGAATCCACAACGAATAGAAATAAATTAGAATTAAATAATAATACTGGACCTTGAGGTAAGAAGTCAGGGTCATAATTCATGACAGGGTCACATTATCATCTTATAATGGTACAGTCACATAACTAGATTTAAAGATAAAAAAGGCTTCGACTCGGACACATGAGAAGAACAAGAATAAAAGGAATTCAGGATAAAACATGTTTCCATTCATCAAATTGGAAGCATATATATAATTATGATCAAGTAATTGAGGCTTTACAACCAATATGACGATTATCCGATTTTATTTTGATTGAAATCAGTTTTATATTATACAAAATTTTAATGTTACTCATTTTGACTAATTAAAGATTTTTTTGAAAGCAACATATTAATTGAAATGTCATTTTGCTTTGTCTTTCTTTGTGTAACCCATTAAATGTCGGTTTGAAACATAGTAAATTCTTCACTTTTTAACTTTAATACTAGAAAATTTAAATAAATAAAAAAAGAACTCTAATTTTCATGAAACCAAGACATTTGAGTCATGCTGAATATGGATTAAATGGATATAAATGTATATTATACTCGTAATTTAGCTTTAATGTTACATCATTTTATCAATGCTGAGTGTCGCATTGCGAAACTTAAAATTGAAGTATGTTCTGATTCAATAATTCCTTAGGTTATGTAAGAAGCAGAGAAGAATAACAAAAACATCAATAGTTATTAAAAAGGTATTAAAATTGTCAAATAGCATCAAAGAATTATTAAAAATTGTTTATATTATTCTTTCAAATCCCAATACCATTTGATGATGAAAGTCATCATACCATGCATGACCTTGGTGTATTGTTTATACAGGGTGTTTCATAATATATGTTACATTTTGAATCTTCAATTTGACAAACACAAGAAAAAGATACAGACAAGTGTTTTTATCAATTTGGTGCATGTATCCATAAGATTCATTATGTGTAATTACCAACCAAAATATTAAACACTTGACGAAATCTCAAACAGTAATGAAAATTAGCGAAATTTCTAAATTATGCCATTTTGGTTACGTTGAATTTCACAACGTCAAAAGCCCAAATTACTTGTTCTTAATGATCTCCACTATTTCAACTACAAATGAAAATTTCTTCTCGAAATTTGTATAACCTTGTCAGACATATTTGTTAGACACTCCTCATTTGAAGGTTTATGGGGCGTTTTGCAGCTCACACAGTATCTGTAGTTTAAGATTGTAGACCCTGTCCTAAAGAACCCCTACAAAAAAGGCTTGATTGAGATTGGCGAATGCAGAGATTAAACTCTTTTCTTGGGGTATTGCATCATTGAAATTTTGTACGCTGATAGCTATATAGTGTTACATGTATATCATATTTCAAAGTTCAATATATGCTGGCAATGCTGATATTGCCAGCATCAATTTCTGAAAACATCCATCTGACACTTTACTCAGGAGTTTGCTAAATTATTTAAGAGTCTCCAGTTCACCAATTAAATCTTCGGTTCTTGAAATCCTTCGGCTCTCTGGAGTACCGTGTCAGTTATCACATATTGCCCGTCCCCCTGTCCACTAATTTTGTTACTAGCCATCTGATAGGCATCCTAAAAAGTTTTCATTCTTTTCGAATTTTTTTTCTTCATCAACTTCTGAATATTGGCCACATGTATTGAAAAAAACATCTTTACAATTCAGCAATATGTTGATAAGTTACGTCCATTTCGAAAAATACTCAAATTATGACATTAGCGTTTATGAAACAATTTATCATTGTAATACCATGATTTCCTTGACTTTTTCACATGGAACAAAAATGCAGGATTTGATGTTTAAAATGATATATAGTTTGTAATAGAAATATGATAGGTAAGTAAAATAATTAAATTTGAAAATGTAACATATATTATGAAACACCCTGTATTTACATTAGTTATTAAAAAAAAGACAAAAATAATATCAAAATTATTTACAGAACTACTCTAACAGTTGTTGCCGACAAATGGGAGATACCACATAATTGTGTTCGCATCGGCCGGATGCTGGGGAGCGGTGCGTTTGGTTATGTTTTGAAAGGCCGTGTAAGCCGAAGCATATTACAACACAGAGGTATTACAATACCGTTTGATCCCGTGAAAAAGAAAACATATGTGCCAGTGGCGGTCAAATTGATGCAAGGTATGAAAATTGTTACATACTGTTCTCCCACAACAACAAACGCAAACATACTAAATACATTTTAATTTCAATAAATTATGTTTCTACTAAACTTGTGAATGAGTACATTTTAATATGAAAGATAAGTGAACGATATTAAAATAAATTGTATCGATTGAGCAGTGTTAGGTTTGACAAGATGTTTCTGAAACATAAATTCCAAATTTAACTTAAGAACATTTATTCTGGAAGAGGACAGCTCAGATGCACTAGTTGTGAAGCATCATCATTCTCAGAACATTTGCACCCAATCCATATCGTATCCATTGAATCACAGTGAATTCCAAATGGCCGAAAAATATTGTTTGCTTTTCCAATCTCTAGCAATCCTCGAAAACTCCCATCTTTTGTCAATATGTGTATCCTGTTGAAGTATTCATCCGACAGTATAATGTTCCCTTTACTGTCATGTGTCATAGCACTAAGATCACATTGAGGTGAATCTGTCGTATGCCGTCCATTATAAACAAATCTTTTCCCGCCATTTTTGTCGAAGACAATCAACCTGCCCTCATGAAAACCAATGACGTCAACCACGCAGATGTCCCTATTAACATTTTCAATCACGCTCTGTGGCATGGTAAAGTACTTCTGTTTATTGATATCTTTTTCAATTACCATGGCCCTCTCTCTATCTGCAGAATACTTGACAATTTGTCGAACGCTAGCTTCGTTCACATTGTAGCTGTAATCGTTGAGTAAACACACGAGAATCTCGTCCTTTTCGTTGACGTAGAGACCTAACGGAATAAGATGATATGTATCTATATAAAGGGAAGCTTCATACAACTTATTCATGGTTGTTATCATAGCCTGTCCTGCGCAGGAAAAAATGAGATCGCCAGACGATAAAACAGAGATGTTTATGGGTTGAAACTCTGTTAACCGGTATCGATCCTTCTTTCGCATTCGACCGTCCTTTTCTTCCAGTAGATATATTTTATCGGTTTTTGAATAACCAATCCAAACCTCAGAATCATTTATTGGACAAACAGTTTCAATTTTACCTAAACGGATTTGAAATTTGGACAAAACTTCAGGTTCAGGAAGCAAAAATCCCTCGAAGTCAGAGGATGAATGAGGAGCTGCATCAAAAAGTAAACATCCCAGGATGATTTCTTTGTTTTCTTCGCTAAGGGCAAGTTGTCGGAACTCAACTGATTCTTTCTTATCAATCGTTGCTGCATCGACTTCTCTTTCTAGGTTTGACTCAATTTTCGCAACAATTTTCGCATTTTTTTCAGACTCTAGACTTGACATTAATGATTGGATCTTATCCTTTCTCTTGGCTAGTTTATCAACAAGATTATCAACTCTAGAAATATCTAAAGTTTCTTCTGTACTCAGTCCTTGATCCAACAATTGTTTTTCATCCCTTAATCTCCGCTCAATCTGTTTGAATCGATCATTGACCGTTTTTCTTAAATTTGAGAAATCTAATTGCCTTGATTTCTTAAGCTCGTTTAGCTCTACAATCTTTTGCTCGAGTTGACTATAAATCTCTTTTGCGGACTGTTTTTTCTTGCCTTCATCACTTTGAGTTTCTTGACATCCAACACTCTGGAAGGAATTAGCATGATCTCTATGCTCCTTAGACACAGCACAATCTCCGCAGATATTGTCCTTACATGTCCCACAGAACAATACAGCTTCTTGTTTCTTTGGATGATTCTTTCCTGTACATTCATATTTCCACTTTTTGGACGCCATATTTCCAAACGATCGATCCCCTCTCCACCCGCATAAATTTTAGTTTTTGCCAAACAACTAGACTATTCCTATCAGGGGCTTTATTTAATTTCCGACCACCGACTCAAAGTAAAGGGAAGTGAACCTTTGCACCATTCATAGTTTAACATTAACCGTAATCAATGACGGTCAAATAACAGATATAACGACAAACAAACCAAGTAATTTCCACCATTTTTAAATGCCTAATGCTGTTCTAATCAGTGTTTTGAGAACTATCCAATAATGCAAGACACATGAAGCAGTGTCTTTTATCCATATATTGAACATTGAATGTTTTATGAGAAAAAAACTTTTTAAATACCGTAGATGTCTTTTAAGGTTCCCAGTACAGGTACATCTCTTTGCTTCATGGGATATTGAGAATAAAGATAATCTCATATAAAATTTTATGATCTAACTATAATAACTTTAGTTATCCAAAGCAATTAAGTAAAAAAAAAATACATTCCATCCACTATTGAACATATCATAACGATTTTATGACCTCAACACTAAGTTAAAGACGACCTTTTATCTTTGCAACATGAACTTCTCAGAACATTTCATACCTTTCAAATACATGCATTAATAATCTAGAAATAACGTAACAGCAAAGAATATTTAGTCTTTTATTATGTTAAGTAAAAAGGATATACTTGTTCCATTTAACTTTCTAAGCCTTTACAGCAATAGCGAATTTTATTGGAACTAATTAAAATTTACAGAGACATATTCTTTTATGTCATTAAATCAACCACAGATGGCCTATGCTAAAATTCAAGACATGTGAACTTATCCAAGATTTATTGAAAAAATGACAAATTAGATTTAAGAGTATTCATATTTTACTCGAAGAAGGTGAGATGATGAGTTTTCATTCCGAACCATTTTGCAGTCTACCCACAAAAACCCTCCAGAATCAATGGCAAGTGCAAAAGGGAAGTAAATTCCATCTGACGTCGTCATCAGGAACTGGATAAAATGTCCGTCTGGTGACAAGATGTGAATTCTATGATAAACAAAATCTGACAAGAAGAGACGCCCAGAATTGTCATTACGAACCAGACCAAAGTCGCATGGCTTAGCGGCAGTCATTTTATCCTTGCCATCATAGATAAAGCGTTGTTCGAATTTTTTATTGAACACCATCAGACGAACCTTTCCTCCACTTTGCATATCGACAATACATACATCTTCATTGATATTTTCTATAACACTATGTGGATAGCTGAATAGTTTCTTTCCCTTAGAATTAAATTCGAGTCTTCCTCTTTCTTCTCCTTCAACTGTCATCTTGATTATTCGAACAGGACACTTTGGATGTCGATGGGCATGAATCTTGCCCGATAGAGTTACATACAACTCACCGGATTTGCAAACACACATGCCTTGAGGGAACATTGGCTTCATGTTGAGAACTGAAATAGAAGTTCCATTCTTGTCTATTCTGGTTATACTTTGTCCCTCCTCGTAAGATATCATTAACTCTGTACTTGGCAAAGACACTATATCGGTTACTTTATAATCAAAAACGGTTGTTTTTGATATCATGTTGTCTTCTACCTCTATATGAAATAAAGAATTCGATGTAACATCTCCAAACCAACACCTATACTCGTTTACTGGACATATTGCATTTATCCATTGCAGATGTGTTGGAAAATTCGACAAAATAGTTGTGGTTAGCTTTGGAACTTTTGGTCTTGCCTGTCTAACATTCTTTTCGTTTTCTTTAGGTAGTCTTTTTACTCCAAGAAAGTTAGAACCTTTGGTAGATGAAGAAAATGTTACTCCATTCAGGTTTTTTCGAGGAATCTGTTCAAATATATTTGATGCTATTTGATCATTTTCTATACTGGTGTTACTTTGATATGTTTGACTTGTTCCTTTCTGGTTATCTCCACTTTGCATTAATTTTACAGGCGTTTCCACAGAGCTCATTCCTGAAAAAGAGATGCCACCTTGCTGCATTTTCATGGAATCCCCATTTGCATTCAGTCCTGGCCACATTTCCTGACTGACAAAAGGGTCAGAAAATTCAGCCACGCGCCTTCTTTCTCTGTGTGACATATCTCCTAGTTCACTGTCTTGAATATCTTCCACTGCAGTTGGACTCCCACTGGAAGTTGACCCATCTCTGCTGTCTATCTTTATATTAGTTACCTGTGGAAGCAAATTTCCAGAAAGTTCTGGTTTCTTATCTCCATCGTCTATACTTAAAGATCGACGACCTTTGATCAATTTTCCAGAAAGTTTCTTGTTTGGTTTATTTTCTTTTGGTAATGTTTTCTTTCCTATTGATAATTGTTTCTCGTTTTGAAGAGCCTCGGTTACTTCTCTCACTTCTCGTTCTTTTTCTTTTTCTTCTGAAATCACAACCTCTACAGCTCCCTGAATTTTAAGAATTTTGTGATTTCCATACCTTCGTGATTTTTGATGGATTGCTTTGCAGCGGTCACAAGTTATTTTATCGCAGACTACACACATCCATTCTACACGATTATTACTAGAACAAAAGTCACAGGTTGTAACTTTTTTTGGTTTGCCTGAATACGACAACATAGTCACACTTTAACACAACGCAGATTTTTATCACTTGTTGTAAAACACAAGGGGAGCCCAGATCACAATCATATCTAAAAGTAAACAAGGTATTTGCACGATCCTTGACTAGGTTTAACTTGCAGTCTATTACCAAACGTATACACAATGCAATTCAAGTTCATTTTACACTTTACCAGTCGCCTGTAACGTCTTAATACAATTGACGAACTTTTAAACACAAAAGAAGGGTTTATTTAGCTAATTAACCTGTTAATGCCATTCTTTAAATCAAAAGTCATCTCGAAACATGCTTGTGTCCCATCAGCGCTGTAGAATCAATATCTATTATTGATGTCATGATCCCACCTATCAATACAAGACGTTATCTTTGTTTACATGTATGGCTTTCATACATTTAATGAAGATAGAATTTACAATTCATATTTAAATCTTTTTAACATTTAAATAATGCATGGGTACACTGTTTACATTTGGCTCACAAAAGTTTATATAGCTATCGATTTATTTATTTTGAATGTTAAAGTAGACTTAATGCTGTGCAAATTTCCTATTTGAACATTGCGAGCGTGGTTTTTCCTTTTGATTTCTTTGAAAGCGTGATAGAAAATTTTAAGCGTTTGATTTAGATGTGAAAAGAAACACAGTGAATGATAGAAATATATTTAAAAGGATAGAAAAACCATTGGATATAGCTTGCATGATTAAGTTACGGGATCTGTCTGAAGCTTTACTCCTTGTTTAACATTCTAAATTGTAAGATTTTAGAAAGTATGCACACAAAAAGAGAGGTAACTCTTCCTTGATTTCACAGAAAAGGAAAAAAAATTAAAACAACTACCACTTTATATATCTACTATAATAAAACTTTTAGGTCACCTAAGTCACCCAGGTGACCAATTGCTATGATTGACTTTCGAACGTTTTCAGCTTCTTCTGTAGAACGGCTGAACCAGTTTCAACCAGTCTTAGTACAAGCATATGTATAAAGCATCCATGGGTGGTAATGAAAGGGAACAAAACTTGTGAATTTCATGGTCTCTCCCTCCCTTTGACATGAAGGATGTAATGAAAGCCAGCATATTTAATGCAACCTTCAAAAAAAAAACTTCTTTACAGGTATGCTCTCATGGACATCAAGCAAACTGGTGACTTGATTATAGTAAACAATGACCTTTTTACCGAAACTGCAAAATACCCTTGTATTTGGGGTTCAGGGTCCGGGTTGGGGCTAAGTTGGTTATAATTTTATTGCCATACCTTCTATTTTACGTTTCGATCAGACAGAAATATGTGGATTCCCTTGATAAAACATGGACACTGCCATTTTTCTGTAACAATGGGGGTACCCATCTTTTATCCGCAGCTCCTCCTATACTACTGAATAAAATTTCATGAGACTTTCACTGTATCTTAAGTACATGATGCCACTGTGCACCTTTTATTTTTCGTTTCAATCGGACAGATATTCGGGGTTTCCCATAGCAAAACATAAAACACTGCCATTCTATCTATAATATTGGGGGTACCTATCTCATCCGCAATTCCTATCATACGACTGAATAAAATTAAACAAACTTTCACGGAATCGTTATTGCATAGTGCCAATATGACCTCTTATTTAATGTTCTGATATTTGGTGATTCCCATAGCAAAAAATGGACTTTACCATTATACGTATATGGGAGCGGGGGTATCATTTTGTGAACTCGGTGCTTGCAGTAACTCTAACTTTTCTCATGGGCATCTAGCTGGCAAACTGTTTACTTGATTGCAGTTCAAAATTATAAAATTCATGACCCCTTGGTTTAGGGTTCCTGCCCAAATGTGGGATCGAAATGGTCCCACGAAGAAACTACATATTTAAAAATTTTCATTAGAAACGTTTAGCAGGTAAAGAAATGTTGCAGTATCATAATAAGCAGCTAGTCCTCTAATAAAATAGTAAAATACATAGTACTTTGTCTGGTGTGCAGGCACCAGGATAGGGTTAAGTTGATCATACATTGAAACTTGCACACGAGCTAATTGGCAAAATATCACAATAAAAAATGAATGAAATGATCCAAAGTAGTGTACCCAAAGTCTGGATCAAAGAAACTAACTAGAAAAGAGGTACATAAACGAACAAATGAGTGATAGGAACAGAAAAAAAAGAGAAAAGAAAAAATGCATTCCTGTCCCAGATCCCATAATTTTTAAAGTATACTTTCGCTTATTTAAATGAGGATGCCTTTGTGGTACCGGTATTAGTTTTGAAATTCTCATTCGAAGGGTTTCTTTTTGTGTAACATGCACAGCAAAGCAACGCTTATGCATCGGTGTCCGTCCGTCTGTCTTATACCTTGAGAACTGCAGAAGGAAGGGATATAATATTTACCTCATGTATTGCTTGACGCAAACAAGGTTAACTAACCTTGTAATATTGAACTTGAGTTTGACCTCCGTTCCAAAATAGTTTATAATGCTAAAATATGCTATATTCTTTGCACATAGAGAGATAATTTTGAGATATTGAGCACGTTCACTGTCATAAACCTTTCTAAAAAATATATCAGTTATAGTCCAAGTGACCTTGAACTTTCATCAAAAATTCTCGGAACATTGTAAATTATTTCAATTTGGAAAGAACGAGCTTTGATAAATAGCACATATATTGCAAGTTTATGTTCTAATGACAATGTACTTTCGAACGGAATGATATATATTTATACATTTACCAGCAAACTAAAATCTTAATGCATTGGGATGTATGAAAATGAATCGGGATCGGTATACTGACTTCAGAGTGTGTAATTCAGATAAGTAGTCTGCTGATAATTATGTCCAAAGAGGGAGTCACATTATTTTAAAAATCGATCTTAAGAAACTTCTCAAAAAAAGGTTGCACGATATGCCTTCACCTGAATATATTCAAATAGGGAATGGATCACAATGATAGTGGAAAAAATACTGAATTTCAGAAAAATTCTTTTGATAAGATTGCAATTAAGCGAGAAATCAAGCATCCTCAAGTAATGGTGATTCAAGTTTAATCACATTTCTTTTGCTCCAAGTTTTACATCAATCATGCATGAGCAAACATCTCAGATTTGATATCCATCGTATACAATTGATATATAAATCCAACTCGGTTATATTTATAATTTAGTGAATAAACATCCATAAATATTTTTAAAAAGACAATTGAAGCAAAGAGATTGAATCTTTGAAATACTACCCATGAAGACGCAGAGAGAGAGAGAGAGAGAGAGAGAGAGAGAGAGAGAGAGAGAGAGATGCTACCGGAAATTGACGTACATATTAACACTCTTAAATACATCAAGGGCGTATCCATTCATGAGATCGAAGACAGAGTGTTCAGAATACTAAGTGTCCAAGTTAGGTGTGATTTATCGACTCCCGTGTTTGCAGGAGAGAGAGCGACATGAATGGTGGGCCAGGTGTTTGTAATCATAGGCTGATGGATGGCCCTTAATTGTGAACAGCAGTCATGGCATGACTATTAATGTGTTAATAAACATTTTCATCACATTGATGTTATTAACACCCAAACGAGCTTTCGTCAATTACTGTTTTGGAAGCTTCATTGACTTGCCATGTGGAATGTTGAATAGATTTTATTATTTTTTAATTCAAAATATTGAATAATTACTGCCAACTGTGTTTTGTTTAGTGTGTTTGGTTTTAACATTTTAAATTTTCTTATTAAAGAAAAATGAATAGACACTTTTTTCTACCCAATACATTCTAACAGAATTCTCTGAAATGATGTCATTTACTTTATACAAGCTATAACTCTATTATCTTAGATTATTTTAATAATAAAATAAAAACTGTAGATTTCTTGCAAATTTTGATAAGTAAGATTGTTTTTGTTTTAGAGGGATCATCAGAAACAAAGAGGGAAGAATTTTTAAAGGAAATTCGAATAATGAAGGGTATTGGATATCACAAGAATATTATAAGCATGTTGGGCTGTTGCACATTGAATGATCCAATCTGTCTGATAGTAGAGCATGCAGCAAAAGGAGATATGTTGTCTTATCTTAGAAACATCAGGCAAAACATTCAAAAGGTATGTATACTGTGGATAATCATGAAAAATCAAGTTTGGAACTATTTTAATATATCTCTCGTAGAACAATATGACAGGCATATTTGATTGGATGGTTGAGTCAAGTGTTCGAAAAATTGTAATATGTCATTGTCCCAGATCTGAGAACCCTTTGGAACTTTTACTTTATCCCTCAAAGTCCTCACTGTGAACACAGTAACATCATTGGTAATAAATAGCAATCAATCAGTGATTATTGCCATATATGGTATATTGAAAAGTGGTTGTTTCTTAAATGTAATGTTTTTACATTCTTTTGATAGCTTAACAATTTTATTTCTTAAACACAAAAATAAGTACATGTATTGTAAATAATACTTACTACATGTACTTCATTAAAAAAGAAACAAAACGTGAACATGTTTCTGTAATCAAATATCAAATCACCAAAGAGGAGGTAAAGCAGACCAATTAAAATAAGATTGTGATAATTTTCTTTTTCTTATTTTTTTCAAAAAATATTTTACACAGGAATCGTGTACTTTCATTAAAGCAATGAAGGCAACTCGTTCATTAAGGCAACTCTCTCTCTCTCTCTCTCTCTCTCTCTCTCTCTCTCTCTCACTCTGTGGATAGCTTGAGCTAGTTCTGGTTAAGTGTTTAGAAATTTATACATCCTTTTCTCCCTCTGTTTATTCTGTAGAATGGGGAAAAGGGTTGTTTCAAATTGTATTTAAAACCACTACAGAGATCAAAGAAAAAAATTTGACTTGAACCAATCCAAATTTTATTTGTTCCTACAGAAACGCACGTGTCATGGCGAGACGAAACTAAACTATTTCTCCCACTTCATTTTATAACTTAAAAATTATATTTTGTTTTAGTCGTATGTTTGGAGTGAGTTTTCAAACGTGTTTATCTCATAATTAATTAATTAATTGAAGTTATTATATTAATGTTAAGGTGAACACGAGCAAATTCAGAGGAAGAAGAATCTACCTCTTAAGAGAAAATTACATTGGTATTCTTCAAGAGCATTCAATTTCAAAGTTTATTAATTAGCAGCAATTGCAACTAAGAGCAATTCTGATTTGAACCAATCCAAATTTGAATTGTCCCTACAGAAACACACGTCATTGCGAGACGAAACTAATCTACAATAGACTGTAAAAAATATTTGGATGTTTGGAGTAAGTTTCAAACATTTTTATCTCATGATTAATTAATTGAAGTTTTATATGAATTTGAAGGTTAGCGTGAGCATGTTAATAACACAAATTATACATTTAAAAAAAAGGGGGGGGGAAGCTTTTTCCATCGAGGAGAATATGGTTTTCTAGGGTCAGTCTGTCACTTATAATCATGCAATAATTGTTCATGATCAATATTAACAAATATATTGTAAACAGATATTTGTATTTGTGTTCATATTTGGCCCAATCTCATGTTAATAAACTGATTTTCCCGAACCTAATTGCACATCTGTGTAAAGAATGTGTGTGTTTAACTCTAAATTTTAGACTCAGTGAGAAGTGATAAACAATAATGAAGCTTCATCAATGAAGATTAACGTCAGAAAAAGATTGTATGAAATAAAACATTTGAATTGATAAACGTCACTTCCTTCATTAATGATACATTGAACGTACGGAAAATAATTTATAAAGGAAATATAAAATTTTCATTTCTAAAAATATAGACCAGATGACCAATCAGATACTATGTTTTGGGAACGTCTCTTCCAAATGAATAACGCATTTACTTACACTGTATTTGATTTGTAACATTACTTGGAAACAGCAGGAATATGAACTCTTCTGACAGTCCGGAAAAAAAGATTGATATATGAATAATGTAATTAAAATTGCACGTCTGCAAAACTGATAGGTATTTCTTTGATTGGGTAGAGAAAATTTATGATTATTACAAGCTCAATTGATATACATGTAGAATATAAATAAGCACTTGTGGGTGGAATAAGTAAGTGTTCATAAGTCGTATAAATCAAATTTAGGGAAGTATTCTATACTTTCGTATCATTTTTGAAATATCTTTAACCCATTTATAAGAATTCTTTGAAAAGTAATATATCGTTTGAAAACTGTGCGGATAAATGTATTGAATAACAAATTGTATGCTTATATAAGGTGGTCATTTAATTAGCATTGATATATGCAAAGTCATTCCTTTAATCCACGAAGAACGAAAGGAACGAATCATTACACACTGATATAGAAGCCACGAAATACTTAACAAAATGTATATATATATATATATATATATATATATATATATATATATATATATATATATATATATATATATATATATATATATATATATATATACGTACAGAAGCACATTTTCAATTTACAACAACTCTTAAACTAGCATAACTTCCTTAGGTGAAGAAATATTAATATAGAAAGCACAAAGAAATTCCCAACCAATGGTTGAACTCTCGACCTACGGAATCTGTCTACTAGCAGTACAGGAACAGCGCGCTAGACCGCTCGGCCATCTAGGCAAGTCAAAAAACTTGCTTTCGATGCCGATGGAATTCTCGCGGCGCTGTCCTACACTACACGGTCACTGAGAATGGAAGAGAGATTCAGTTATTTGGACATGAGTTTTATTAGAGGATCGTTACCGATACACACTGTAATGAATTAATTTTATTTATACAGCACATTTTAACACAACTCTTAAACTAACATAACTGCCCTTGTAATAAATAAAATAATGAAGTTAAGAAATATTAATATAGAGAGCAACTCTATAAGGATACTCACTTCCGCCCCAACCCGGGGTTGAACTCTCTGCATAATGCTGAGATATATAAGTTCTTGGATTGAAATATGAAATCCTGTTTCAAATATGCTTACTTTTACTTGCTATGTATTTCCTTGTCCGCTTTGACACCCCCTAATATGCAAACACCTGTGAGATAGAATCGGTAAAGTCATTATACCATCTTAACTGTCGTACAAGGTTTGATGTTGTCAGACACATCTGGAGTATGTAAATTAGACGAAAACCTTGAGCAGTTCATGTTTCATTCATTAAAACGCATTATTGTTACGTTATTGCTTTATTTTGTCATTTTTTTTCCTGCGAATTTAGAGTAACGACAACGCACAATATGTTAATCAAGAAATTGAGACAGTAGGCCCCCAGGAACTACTCTCTTTTGCCAGACAAATTTCCACTGGAATGGTAAGTCTTTTTCGTTCTGTCACTGATTTTTCTTTTATTTTCATTTTCATCCCTGAAAGAGAACCAATGCATTAATTAAGCATGATTTTGGAATATGTTCTGTAAGAAAGACCCTACCTTATTTAATCAAATTGTTGGCGTTTTTTTTTCTTCATTTTTTTTGGACTCTTTTGAAGACGATCCATCATCACCACCTCCGCAAATATCAAGCAAGCCCAAAATTCATCCGAAACAGTTATCGAAAAACTTCCTTTTATGGTTCTCCAAATTGTCGACAAATATGACTATTGTAATTCTAAACATTTCTGGTTACCTATTCAGCATTAGAGAACATATTCTAAAATCAAACCCATTCACGTATTTTTTGTTTTACTTTGTTCACAATTATATATTAAATTATCGGTAGTTACTTATTCAATTTGTTTCAGTGTGAAATTTTTAAAGTTCCCTCTTATGTTGAAACTGGTAAACGATTAGAGTTACCATTCTTATCCTTGAAATTAAACAATGTTTTTGCGACGAGTAAATTAACGAATGTTCATGTTTCCTGCTCTTTGTTTTTTATCGTTGCCATTGTGTGTATACTTACAATTTTTTTCAAAATTTCTATTTTTTGGCATTGAACAGAGTAAACTGCATGTTTAAATAAACCATATATTTAAAAAACAATCCTAATTTAAAAAAAAAACAAAACAAAACTTCCTCAACCTTTAAATTTTTCTATTTGTGATTCATTACATGTATCAGAAGTGATAAAAACAGTTGTCATTGATTACGTGATTGGGAAGTTTCTGGACGGTTCCTGTTACATGTCAACTTTTCTTCCATAATTTTGTACTGAATAATGGGGAAAGCTATCAATTACTGATTCATCCCTACAATTCAATTTTAACAATGCAAAAATTTGTAATTCACAAAAAATGGCAAAGAAATGCGGGGGTTACATCGATCCATCAAGAATAATGTTTATCAATCGTAATTAATTAGTTTGATCTGGCGACCCTTCAACTTGATATTTTTTTGTGTTTACCACAAATAATGTAATATCTGACAAAATAATTATTTCATTTAGCCAATCGATCTGTAAGACGAGGAAAAGAAAATATGATAAATAACATTTTTAAAAAGTCTTTAATTTGTTATATTATTATGTAAATATTCAAGCGGTGGTATATTAAAATTGGTTAATAAGAGGAACAATTTTTATGTTTTATGAATACAGCACTACTAGAATTTTAAAATTCTAAAATTAATTTACATTCGAAAAGTAAATTGAAGGAGGAGAGCGTGTGTTTACGTATTTATTTAACCTATTTGTTTATTTTATTATCTTTAAAGTGTGCATTATTACTAAAATCGACTTTTGTTTTGGTCACCTTTTGTGGATTAAATACTGTTTTATTGAAGAATAGACGTTTAAAAAATATATATATATTGATTTTTGATTTAGATTTATGGACTTTGTAAACATTTTAGAACGTAACATTTATTGATGGAAATGTAATCAAACTTTATTTTACACAAAACGGGATTGCATACCAGTATGTAAAGTTTTGTGTTTGAGTGTTTATTTAAAATATTTATTTTTTAATCATTTATTTTGTTTTTAATTGCTCCTCCCCCCTTCAAACATAATGTTATTGTTATATATTTTATGAGATTTATATATACTCTGTTTATATTTTATTATTAGAAAATGTCTTCTGCATATAATAAATGCTATTTTTTAATACCCAAATCTGAAAGTACCACCACTTTATACACTTGTGTTTCTATGAAAATAAAAGAATAACCAGTTTATGCGGAAAGCTTAATAACCAAGAAACAAACAGATGGTCGGTACATATATCATTTTTCGAAGAGTCATTTTTTATTAGTATATTTTCATATCATTACAATGTCTGCATGAATTATGATTTTCTGCTTTAATTTGGTAATCATTATTGTCCAGTGACATATTTATTTCCCAGCATTGGTAATTTTCACTTCAAAATCCGTCAGCCATATAACTTGATTGAATATATTTTCTTGTTAAAATGAGTTTTTAAAAACAGACAAAATATCACTCAAGAGCGTAGATATTCATTCTACAGGAAAGTACAGCGTGCTTGTGTTTTATTTATTTTTCTCTTAATTTGTTTGAGTATATGCTGATTAATGAACACTGAAAACTGAAAAAAACTTAAAAACGCAAATTTTGCGAATTCCTCTGATTATTAGAATAACTGTTTGCGTGAATTGTAAGTAGACAAAGTAAAAACGGAAGAAGAATTTTATGTTTACGCCCTGTTAATTGTTTGGGAGAAAGAATTTTCATTCATAGATTCAACACTACAGGTTCTCTGTAAAAATAGTTTGTATTACGTCTGAGAGAACCCAAAACCAGCTGGCAATTTATCAGACATAATTATTGTTTGAAAAAGATTTATTTACAATATAATTGATAATTGTGTAAACATTCCACGCTACATTTTTCATGGGGTTTTGTTTTTGAGGTTTGAAAATGGTGTCGTGCAATATGCTCAATTCGACTTCCATTTTTAATTTTGGAGATGAATATTGCACCCTCGGAAAATTTAATGGATTATTTTGTGTTAATTTTCTTATTTTCTCGTAGGCTATAGAGACAATCTAAAGCAAATTTGATGGTATTTGCTTTCATTTTATTTATATTATTTTAAAGCCAAAAAATAGTTTTAAAAAATGGAATAAAAATAAAAGTAATTATCCACTTTAAAATTTATTTTCTGGAAATGGACTTGGACATTAATGTTCTTTTATACCATACCGTTAATAAATTATTTGAAAAGTTTACATATTGTAAGATTTTTTTTTATTGATTTAGAATTTTGATTTTTTTCCCCCTTTAAATCATATTTTAAAAATACGTTATGAATAGGCATAGATTAATGAATATTTATTAAATTAATCAAATGACGTACATTTTACTTATCTAGACGACGGATTTTGAGCTCTTACAAGAAAATATATACGTAATTGAATTATCATAATGTCTGATTTTAACAAAATACAACTTTAAACAGTTTTTTAAAAATAATTCACTTAAAGCTACCTGTAATAATATTATTACGGAAGGAAATTACAAATTAACAAATATTTTTATCAAGTTTATTTCTTTTATATATTCAGATTGAAGGCTTATAATATTGATTCACAGAATGTTTATTACCCTTCTAGAAGAAACCAAAAAAACATTTAATGTTTAAATTGGTTTTTGTAGACCCTGTAAAATAAAATTACTGGTATTCAAATTTGCCTTTACCAGCTTCGGTCATTTTGTTGTTCATAAGAAACATTCTAAGCCTCATTTCACTTGTTAGTACTGTAAGAAAATATATTGCCAGGGTGAGCCTCTATTCTTTTGCCTTGACAATGGTTCCTGTTGGGACATGCAGAAAGAAAAAAAGTATTAAAGCAATAACTCATTCGTAATTGTGAATTTGTGTGGAAGAAAAACAAGAAAAACAAAACAAATAAAAAAGGTCTACTAATGACATGTGATGGGTGGTCTATATGTATGAAATATAGACATTTAACAGCAAAAGAACGTTCTCCTGCCGCGTGGAGGAAAAGAAAACAAAATTTAATTATCTACATTTGGTTGAATGGTCATGTTCTTCAGACACAAACCATGTTTTGTCTAATACATAACGATTCTTTTATTTATCGTTTAACCTTTCATTATTCTTTGGCTTGCTAGATGAAAGTGCCTTTGCACTCTTTAAGATCCAGTACCGTTGAAAGTGATTGAAGTAATTTGTATGTTCAACCACTTACAAAGAGTGCAGAAACTGCGTAAGAGAGGGTTATGACATTCCCCCCACGACCAGAAGAAATATGATTCTTTTAATTTTGTAATTAGCGTATTCTAGATAATTTTACCAATGAAAAAAAAAGAGTGTTTAACATTCTAAACGTTCGCTATTTATAATTAAGTTATATGCCTATCCTTCGGGAATTACGCCATAAAGAATTGATAAGAAAACAGACCATATAATATTCATATCCATTGATTTAAATTTGATATGAACAGTTATTTTTTAAAGATATTTTTATCTGAATTGCTTTTGATCTTCGAAAGAATTTTGAAATTGATTTGAAAATCATTATCATAATGTGCGCGAATTGATTCAATTCGGAAAATATATGTGTATATGTTTTTAAAAACTTGAATGTTATAACATTTTTCATTAAATAAACAACCAACTTGTAGTTTATTATTTTTTTTTATCGTAGAATTATGATAAATAGATTTCCTTTGACTTCCAAAGAATATTTATAGATAAAAAAACGTTTTATTCCAATTTTGGGCCCAGAAGGCAAGGCATAACAACAGAAACGGTTAAGGGAGAGAGAAATTGACATATAGACAATAGGTACTGTGTGAACTACATGTAGGGAGAGAGAAATGGACACATATACACAAGATATTGTGCTAATACAGGTACGGAGAGTGAAATTGACATATTTTCGTACTAACATTTAAATAATAAACTAGTTGCGTTTCTGGAATTTTATGACATCACCTTTTTCCTGAAAGGTATAACAATGTTTTCAATAGTTACTGATGTGTCATTATCAAGCATATATATATATATATATATATATATATATATATATATATATATATATATATATATATATATATATTCCCTTTATTGTTACATAAAGTACTCCTTGAGCTTGAAACCCCATAATTAATCTTATTTCTCTCTCCTTTATACAATAGACAATCAATACGAAAATGTCATTCATCTTCTATACAATTTCGGTTACATGATTAAGATATTTGAATTTCCTGACCAAAACCATTTTTCTCAAATTCATACCAATTTCTTTCAACTCTTCAGTCATGTGCACTTATTTGGAATCTTCTGTTCAAGAGATTAATACGTCTGTAATATTCCCCACTGCATAAACTAATTACGTTTTACACATTGTGACCTTCTTGTCCTTGTTTACGTTTTGTGAAGTTGACGTCAGTTGTATAAAAATTAAAAAAAAAAACAAAAAGGAATTACGACATAAAATATGTGTTTTATTTCTCAGGAGTTCCTCTCCCAGAAAGGTTATATCCATCGTGATTTGGCAGCAAGAAACATATTAGTGGACAAGAACAACTTGGTAAAAATTGGCGATTTTGGTCTCACGCGTTACACGTTAGACAACAAAGTTTACGTAAACCGGAAGGGTGGTCGACTGCCCCTAAAATGGATGTCAATTGAGGCCATCAACGAACTGACATTTTCTTCTGCAAGCGATGTGTAAGTATGCCATTCTCTTTTACATGATGGTGCTTGTTTGTCAGTCACCTTTATATTTGCCTTGATCAAAGAATCGCAAGTGTAATTAGGCAAAGCTCAATTATATGACTTAAGAGCTGAACAAGTACTTAAAACGCGTATCATTATCAAACACTTTAATTATACTTCTTATCTTACATTTACGAAAAAGTTGAATTGGTATACATTCTTTAAATTTTTGTCAACATTTAAAGATAAGAAAAAAATATTTTTCATTTATACAATGAGTAAGATATTTTATAAATTTCATAATACATTGCAATTAGAGGAATAAAGAAGATGGGTGAACAAGGCGGGCGAAGTGCCTATAGTGCGACAAACATGAAGTGAAAAATAAAATCTCAATTATATAAAAATTTTCTTTGATATTTCATCTAACATTAAAGTATATTTTATGCTAAATCTCAACAATTTACAAAAATCTCACAAAGACTGAAATTATTTGCCTACGAAATAGCATACACACATTAAAGAGGACAAAAAGGATCATTTTCTCACACTTTAACAAAATTTTTCGTTATGAGTGGGTCTTCGCTCCATTTTTTTGAAAGTTGATCCTAAAAGTTTGCATAAAAATATACATTTTTTGGTTTACAAAAACATGGAGCAAAGACCCACTATACCTTAAAAGTACACTTTTATGACAAAGCATTCGTATCTTTCCGAGAAATACTTGAAGTCCATTTAGTCAAGGGTCATATCACAAACATGATTTAAATGCCACTATTCGTCAGGAGCTGCGTGGCGTAGTGGTTAGCGTGTTAGTCTCAAAACGATATGATACTCCGAATTTTTATTGATAGGGGTTCGAATCCCACGAATACCATTTTATTTTTTTTAATAAAAGAATAATTTTTCCGAGATTTTTTTTCTCAGAAAAGTTTTGTTAATCATAATTTCATAAATTTCAATAATGAGAACTTTATTTTAAATACTTAATTCACAAATTGAATATGATTTTATTAATATCTGAAGCCATAGGCATTCTGCACGCCTTGTTCACCCATCTTCTTTCAAATAAGTATGAAACAAGTTTAGTTCAGTTAGAATGTAAAGACTATACCTTTTGCATTTATTTGTCGTCATATGTTTTCAGAGATTAACCCTTCAGTGAAATTTAAGATGAATATATTTTGAATATTCATTTAGGGGGAGTAAGCATTTTAATATAAAATTATCTAACATTTGAAAAATATTTGTGTAAAGTAGAATTTGCTTCTGAGTTACTAATATTCATCTCTAATAAACGTAGTCTGCATGAAATGCATAATATTCTATAATGCCCTCTCATGAAAGTATATGCATACTTATACCTTAATTCCAAACAAATCACATTTCCAAAAATATATTCCAGTTAAAAAAACATTTTCAAAAGAATATACATGTAACAGATTTGCTTCCATATTTTCATATTTAGGGTAACTTTTTAAAAACATTTGTAAACCTATTCACTGAATTTTGTTTACATTGTTAATATATAAATGGATAAATATATGCACATATGTACATGTGTCTTTATTGCATTTTGACCACTCCTCCTAAGAGAATTAAAACCAAGGAATATAAATTCACTGATCAAAGAAGGACAGACTCGCAATTAATGCTAATACAAAGTAAAGTTTATATGCAAATTAGCTTAATATTATAAAGGTGTCCAAGTAAATTGTGGTCACGTGGTGGTGGCAAAAGCGGGAACAACGGAGATCGCTTGCAATCTAGTGAAATGTGTGGTTTAAAGATTAATTTCTTATGAATTAAATTTTTTCATTATAATAACTTGTACATATAATTACTGTCATCCAGACGTTAGGTCACACAACTGTGTAGAAATATTACTCCCAGGTGTGCGACTTGTCCTGGAATCACGTGGTCTACTAACAAACTTTTCTCAGACAATTTAAACAGTTTATTGAATTTTTCAATTTTTGAGCATGTTTATTTTACCCTGGTATTTTTTTTTATGTATGACTTTTCATACAGTCCAATTTCGGGTTCTTTGTTTTATGGTTCTCTTTCTTCTGTAAATGACTTTCTTCTGTACATCTTTTCCAAAACAAAATAATTACTCAGAACAAAGGAAAATAAATACATTAAGATCCAAAATACCCATTTAGAAGGAGTAAATTTACATCTGTGAGTTTACAAATGAAATTGAAAATTATACTTTATTTCAAATTTTTTCAACATAGTTTCCCTGTGTACAGAGGAAAATATTAAGGGCATAAACATGTCGATTTTCAAAATCGACAGAAAAGGTAAGTAGTTTCTGGTCAAATATCAGAGACCAAACTAAGCTTAAGAATCTTATTAATTCATATACCAGAAGGACAGAGGTTAAAATACAAAATAATATTACAGCTTACTATATTCTTCTGAGTATATTGAGATTTGGCAGAAGCAGCTAGAACACGACTTCCATTTAAACACGTAGTAGAAAATATTTACCACCTGGTAAACTTTTTGAATTACTGAAGACCGTGTTTTAAATATTACTTAATATGATAACATTTCAAACTTAATGTTCAAATTGAGTTTTTAGTGCATGAAAAGCAAATCATTCAACGTAATTAAAGAGAGCAGCCATTTGGTTAATTCTCTTGAAGTTACAGTAATTGAATTTGTGAATGTCATATGCACTAAAGACGCAACGCAAATGCATTTTTTATTTTTACAAGTTATCAAATATAGAATATACATGCACCTGAAACATTTTATAAGGGACTTCACTCTCAGTTTTATATGAGTGTTACAGAACTTAAGGGAAAACATGTAGCAGTTGTTTTAATTCAAAGTCCTGGTTTGAGTTTTACTAACATATCTTAAGATACGAAGTTTAGTAAAATAGACATTTATCGTAACTTATGGTTACTACAAAATCTTATCTTAAGATCTGTTAGTAAAACTCTAGCCAGATTTCCAAATGCGTTTTATATCCCCCACTTGGAAGGTGTGCTATATAGTGATGGGAATGTCCGTCCATACGTCCTTCTGTAACACTTTGGGGTACCCATCTCTTATCCTCAACTCCTCTTATACCACTAAATAAAATTTAATGAGACTTTCACAGAATCTTTATAACATTGTACCCCGCCTATTTCATTGATTTTGCCATTATACTCATATGGGAAAGGGGGTATCAATTTTTGGTGCTCAGTGCTCACAGTACTTCTAGTTTGAAGTATTAGTTTTTTTTAGGGAATACCTACTGAGCGAGGGCTCCTTTTCTACTTAAATTAGTATAAAGCTTGTTGTAGATTTTCTCTATCAAAATTATTCATATCAAAAATATTTGTTGTGTTGAAGAGGGCATTGTCTTTAATTCACTAGGAGTTTGTAATATCCAAACATTCTATGATTGATGTACATTGTACAATGATCATTTAGAAAATACTGGTCGTTGGATGAATTTTTTGTGGTTAACCTCTATTAATTGACTTGTTTGAATTTTTTTAATGTTAATAATACTATGTGGTTTCTTTCTTAAATAAAATTGCTGATTTGGTAATACTCAGAAAAAAATATTTCCTTTAAGGCACAACATCCGAAAGAATGGAAAAAATGTTTAAGGCATATAAAAGAGTAAAGCATAAAAAATAACATCATTGTAAATGATATCAGTGACATTTTTCTAAAACACAGATATGATTAATAAGTCTTTGTTCATATATATATATATATATATATATATATATATATATATATATATATATATATATATATATATATATATATATATATATACTTTGAATGAACAATGAATGGAGGAGGATTATTTCGAAATTAATCAATACCATTTATCTAGATAACTAGAAAATTGTTCGGGAAACTTTTATACTAGTAGGAGCATTTATGTGAAAATTTAAAAAAGTGTCCACACCGCTTTGTATCTTTTGTGTTCGTATTTGCTTTATATGTAACCTATGCGTTATGAAAAGCACCATCATTGGCATTTATGTTTAAGTAGTTCTTGCATGACATGTATTATATAGGTAAATATGCTAATGTACAGCACAAAAGCTATAAAGAATAATTAAATATTTAGAGCACTTTAATTAAAATTCTGATGATTGCAGAGATAAACATTAGAAGGAGATAGTTATCAAGAGCGGTAACTCTAGTTAAAATATATCTGCAAAGCAACTGTTGATTGGTGATGTCTAGAACACATTAAGACAGAGCAAACATGTACCAAATTATCAGATAAAGTACAGTGTTTGCGTTAGTATTTGTGGTCTTTGATTAAGTATTTAAGTACAAGACATGGTGAATTCCTAGGATTTCTTTGTGTTTTACTTAACGATTTTGCCCACTGACGTAATGCTCCGTTATGAAGGCTTCTAGTTATAAATTTCCTTTCAATTATTCGCATTTAATCTTCTGTTTGTGTGTACAGTAACCGTTGAGCTATCTGGCCTCATCGAAAAGCTATACATCATCTCCGGACAAACTCGCATTGCGATTTATAAAGAACATGAAAAGGAAATTCTTCGTCTTATCCAAACCGTTTAAGTTCGTGTTAATGCTGTTTTTCCACTTCATGCAAGTGTGTTGTCCTCTTATCTAAAGTTTCGTCTCAATATTTGTGAAAATCTAAGTGATTCGATTTCAACAATTCTCGTTAAGTTTGTATCCTAACAATGTTGTGTGATTCTCTGTGCTTTTTGAAATAAAGCCACTAGGTTTTTAGAGATCAAATAACTTAAAATCAAACGACCAAATTATTTCATAAACTTCATGCTTGACATTAAGCTGAGGACTAAACAGAAATCAGTAGTCCACTTTCTTTTTAGCTTACAAAAAATTACACACTTTAAAGAGGGTAGGGTTTCTGGGGATCTTTAATGTTGGAAGGATAAATAAAACGTGTAAACAATTTACACAAATAGTCAGTCATTATCATTAGAAAAAAACAATATGTCTCCTTCAAGGCACGCAATTTTTGGGTAAACCTAACCCTAACC